TTCTTTATATCTAAAGGATGAGACAAGGATTAAGGAGTTGAAATGTCGAAAATATTGAGCTTATTTTAGTGGAAAATGGGAAAAAACTGAGGTAACGAGTACAAAGTGAATAAAATTAATTGGAATAGTAAAATGTTGAAGTCTCTTGGTGTATTCTTGGTGTTGGTTTCTCTAGAACAAATTTGATAAAAACTTACTTCGCTACCACCGAAAGGAATATATTCTTTTCATTGTGGGTATAATTTACCCGTTTCGACGACATCCTGYTTCGRACTTAGAACCARAACACAAGACACTACCACCAGAACACAAGACACAAAGACAATGACACAAAAATTGTCAAAATGTCAAATTAAAGAAATACGGCGTTGTTGTCATATCGGATGTGTAATTAAACGATCATCATATGATGAATCATTATACCATGTGCAAATTGTTTTGTGCAACGCAATCAAAGTTAACAAACCATCAAATTTTGATGAACCATTATCTAATGATCGATTGATGGGAGTTTTGTGCAACCGGGCATTATTGTTTTTTTATTTTATTATTTCTTTTAGAGACATAGAATCACAGAATATCAAATTTAGTTTTTCAAATGGAACAACAATAATTGGCATGAAAAATACGGTAAACCACTATTTATTACATTTTACTTTACATAATGCACTCAGAAAACTATTTAAATTTTTGAATTTCATTGCAAATTTAGCAACGTAGGCGGATTTTACTTGTCAAGGTATTCATGATTGAATACCCGTTTAATTGTTAGTTTGACAAAGCCTAATTTGTCAATAAATCTTATTGAGATCTTTAATAATGGATGATATTAATTAGGTACGACGAATTGGTAGATCAGCTTGAAGTGTTCTTTAAGTGCAATAAAAATAGAGCGGAAGCTGAAAGACAGTATAGAGAAAAAAACTCAAATAGAGTTTACCCAAATCGGTGGAAATTTAGTCGAACTGAAAAACAACTGAGACGAATATATTCGCTTCTTAAAACTAAAAAACCTGTGGTTCTTTGTGAAGAACAAGAAAATAGAAATCTGAATGTTCTGTTATAAGTCGAAGAAAATACAAGAGTTTCCATAAGAGAACTTGCTCATCAAAACTGACAAATTAGATTTGTCAAACCAACAATTAAACTGTGTCCAAGCATTTTTTTTATTCACACCTCTCCTTTAAAATTAATAATTAGGTTACGCGACCAATTTCCTTATAAAATTCTAAGATTTAAGATGTTTTTTGATTGCATTTTGTGTTACGTAAAATGTAATATATAGTGCTTTACAGTATCTTTCATGTCAATTATTATTGTTTGGAGGAAAAAACATAGGTGTTCTATTTGAAAAACTGAATTTGGTAAAATTGATACATTTATTAAGAAAGCCAAGAATTAATATTATTACTTAAATATTTACTTTTTGAAAAAAAATAAGTAAGTTTAGGTGTTATTAGCCGGGGCGACTGGTCCGAACACCCTGTATAACAAATATAATCGAAAATGCAAATTGTTTTACATTTTTAGGTAACACTGAATGGGAAATATCAAAATTAAATTTGAATCAATGCTGTTAACAAATAATTAAAAATCTGGGAAATTCTAATCAAGTGAAAATTGCTAATGAATACAGTCAAAGATCTGTTGCTTGGAAAGAAGAACGTAAGTTAAGAGTAACAGGTTTGTTGTACTAGATACATTAAGCATTTTTATAAATTACTTTTAAAATGCGTTTTAGGTTCAAGATGTATATCCAAAAGACGACTGGAAACAAAAATCCCTCAATTATTTCTTTCCCAAAGAGTTTATGTCAAAATACACTGAACATGGAATTATTAATGAACCAAATGCATTAGAATGCTACAGAAAAACTACTAAACATAAAATCGTAACTCCTGGTCTCATAGTATGCAAAAATTTCTTATAATTGATGGAAAACCAACTATTTTATTAGAAATTAAGTGTCCTTATTCAGGTTTACTTAATTTTTTTGTTTTGTTTACAACACCTATTATTGTCTTTAGGTAAAAAAACTGAATTCACAGCCAAATACAGTTTGGAATGGCTTTATTAAATGTAAATAAAACATATTTAGTAATTTATTCAAAATTTTCAAACCCATTTTTACAAATTCTGGTAGATTTTAACGAGTTTCATGCCAAAAAGTCTTTTAGAAACTGTTTATAATAGATTTGTTGGTACATTACATGTTACATTTTTTTGTTTAAATAAATGAATGCAAATTAGAAAAGTTTTTTATTAATCTTCAGAAAAATGTTGAATTGCTCCAAATTTGTTATCAGCCATTATTGGGGGAGATAAGTTTACGAGACATGCAATTACTTTAACTATGTCGTCTGTGTATGGTACCAAATACCAAGAAAGTTGATATTGTTAAATATGGAACATTTTCATACTTTCTATTGCTCTCTCAACATGTACTCTTGCAATATCAGCAGTTTTTTCCGCATCTAATTTTGAAAATTGGCTTTTTTTTCTCAAAAAAGCTGGTCGTATTAATTAAAAAAAAAATTCTTCACATTCTTTTACAATAAGCACTCCTTTATCAACCGTAATTCCGTCATGGGGATCAAACTTATCTATTAGTTTTTCTTTATTAAAGATTATCACTAGTACGTCCACCGTATCCAGAACTTACAAATGAAACTAGCCCAGAAGGTGTTATTGCTATTAGATATTTTAATGTATGGGTGCTTTTATAATGAAAATACGTTAATATTCTACATTTTAAGCACTTGCATCGATCTACTTTTATTTCAGTACAATCTATAATTGCTCTTCTGTTATTATATTTCTCAAAACATTTTGGCACATTTGCTATTATCTCTTCCTTTGTAGGCCAGTATATTAAAGGCTTCATTGATACTGACAACACAACAAAATCGAGTAGAAGTATCTACTTACAGATGACGTAGACAAATTAAAAAGGATAGCCAGACACGTAAACGGTAAATTTAAACGAACTTTTATAAGTACGATAATCACTTTTAACATTAAATCTTTTACTTTTTTGTTATTAAAATTAGCTACTTCTTCAACACTTTCAACAACAGCTCTTAAAATGGGAATACTGATACCTGTAAACGCTTTTAATTTTTCATCATTGTTTACTAAAAGGTTATCAAAACCAAAATCCGTTTGGGTGCTTTTGTCACTTTTTCCATTATTATCAATAAAACAATCAATCAATGTTAATTATAATTCAGATTAGTAAACTGTATTTTAGAAAACATAAAATGTAATTCAGAATCGTAAGTTGTTTTTCAGAAGACGTTAAATGTAATTCAGATTTGTCAGTTTTATTTCAGAAAGTGGTAATTGTATTTTAGATTAGTAACTTGTATTTGAGAAAGCGTTAAAATAGTAATTCAGAATGCGTCACTTATAATTCAGAAATAAGATTTTGGGCTTAAAAATTAATATTGCAAGATACCACAGAAAAAAAAAGAATTCTAGTTGACACTATTTTGTCAACAAACTGTTTTACAACTCGCATAAAAAAGAATTACCGATTTTAAGTGAAATGAACTTCAAGGACAACTGTGGCATTTGTCGAATCTCCATGTCAAGAAACTCAGTTACACGATTATTACCCTGCCGACATCTTTTTCACACAAAGTGTGTCCAACCTTTGGGAAATAGCTCATGTCCAATTTGCAGTCTGGTTTTTAATGCACAAGAATGGAATGAAAGGAAAACGTACAAAAGATTTTTCGGCCAAGATCGAGAAAGGATTGTGGCTTGTGCTAACAGGGGTGACGATTGGGTTGCCCTTGCCGAAACACTTGGTGTCAAATACAAAACAGCATCCCAATGGATTCGGTCGGGGCGTGACAGAACACTGTGTGAAGGTACATATTTCTGAAATGCATGTTACAATGTAATCTGAATTTTATAGTGGACGCTATCTGAAATACAGTTGAAAAAAGTGAAATATGAATTACGGCTTATGCTTTCCAAAATACAATTTACAACTTCTGAATTACAAAAAATGTTTTCTTAAATCAAATTTACTAATCTGAAATTCAATTAACATTTTCTGAAATACTATTAACTGATATGAATTACAAGAGAAATTTTCTTAAATCAAATTTGATACACTAATTTACAGTTGACCTTTTCTGAAATACATGTTACTAATCTGAATTTCAACTGACGTTATCTGAAATACAGCTGAAAAAGGTGTAGTTCTAAAAGCTCCAAAGACGGTCCGCAGTGCAAATGTCAAGTTTCTTCAGTGTAATTTCATAGGCGGTACCGTAGACAATTGCTCCACTAATATCAAATAAGAAAGTTTACTAAATTCAGAAAATTATTATAAAAAGTATATACAGTTACGGAATTAAAATTTCGGGTAGTATTTTTCTGTTACTTCAAAAAGTTCACTGTAAACAACCTTTCACTGTCATCATGACTGACATTTGACAATTAAACTTTTCTGTCAGTGACGCTATTTTTTAAGTCAAAATGCATAAACATGACAAGAGTAAAAAATTAGGTTATTAATGTAAAGGTTGTTTTAGAGTTTACATTATGAAAATGACAATACTGCCCGAAATTTTAATTCCGCAACTGTACTATAAAATAGGGGTAGGAGGGGTAAGACGGGGTAGCGAAGTAAGATAAGGACCCACTATATCTCAAAAACAAAAACAGTTTTGATAAAACTGTTAACGTCATTTTGTAGAAGTATCTCAAAACTTTTCACTGCGGCAAAAGCGAGAACCTGAGCATAACACATAACGTTGCTGTGAGTAAAAAATATTTTTTTAATTATTTGATATTATTTTTCTATTGTGTTTCGAACGTGATTGTCAGAAATACATAGGTTCTGATATAAACAATATCGTTTCATTGCAATCCCTATACTTTAAACTTGATTTTAGACTAGTTATTTACACGATTGCTTGTCCATTTATAAAATGAATTTTTTTTTACCTACGAGGTCCCGTTGGGGCAAAATGGGGTACGGGGCATATCAATTGGCAGTTGTCAATAATAAGCAACATAAGTTCAGTGAAGTCAAGGTAAAAGCTGGTAAAGATTAGGTTAAGGGATTTCTTAAGCGTCATCCAGAAATAAGTCTTCGAAAACGAGAAAATACTTCTGCTGCTGGACTTGCGGGATTTAATAGTGTCGGTGGGAAAGTTTTTTAAACTGTTAGGAAAAGCTTTGGATTAATATAAATTTACTCCGGATAAAATTTATAATTGTGATGAAACTGGATAATTTATTGTGCCCAAATCAAGATTCAAGATAATTGCTACAGCAAAGAAGGATGGATCACATGTCAGCTATGTGGGTAGTGGGCACATTACGGTTGCGCTGGCGTTAATTACGACGATGAAGAGCCAGTCTTTAAAACTGTAGTACCCCATCTTGCCCAATGGGGGACCCGATTTTACCCCAAGGGTGGGGCAACATGGGGTAAAAGTATTTTTGTTTCTTTTTTCGTTATTTAAAAAAATTCATAATTTTTGTTATTCTCTTTATTATAGTCTAATAGAGAGAAGACTGATTAAGTTGATAAATAGAGTTTCGAACTTCTGTGATGTGTATTTAGTTTTTTATTCGACTTCAAAGGTTAAGGTCCCCGTCTTGCCCCTCCTTCCCCTACTTATAAACGACTTTTTTCAGGTAGCAAATGGAAACTCCTTCGTTGGGATGCCTTCTGGTGGTGTGCATCCTCCACTGTCGCTCATTGTGTCAAACGATTTTTTACTATAAGTGACAATCGAAGAGTGACAGTGACAGTGTAAGTGACAGAGTAACGTGTCACCAACCAATCAGCAAAAAAACTAAATTATGATAAACGATCAGTTTTTAATTTTTTTGAGTCAATCGTTACAAAAAATGGGTAGTATGAATAAAATGTAGCAAAAGCTTTTGCTATTGTTTTGTTTCTTTCTTTCTTATAAGATCTAAATTACGTCTATCTTTTACTATCACAAGTAAGAGCGTTTACTTAACTTTTCATTCATTCATACGGCCCACCATGTACCTAACTTACACAATTATACCACAATTATACGCTTTTAGGATAACAATATACACAAAGTCCATCATTAAGAAGACACTCTGTATAGTAAATTCAAAAATATATATGTATAAAAGTAAATCTAAAACTGCTATTTAGAGAAATTATGCTTAAATGAAAGGGCAAAGCGAGTCGCAAGCATCTGGTCCATCCGTAACGATAAAGAATTTGTGCCAAATTGAGTCATTATACTGTGCAAGCAAGCACACACCAAGCGTGTATGTGACCAATATCCAGGTTTCATTCCAGCAAGATCCGCACGTTTTCAATTTAGACTCTCAAGGCGCACACGTTTCCTTCCATCCATGATATTCCGCAGGAGCCAGTGCGAGTCTGACGGCATGCATGATACTCGAACAGATTTACCTAATGGAAACACGAACAAATATTCTTTTCCTCATATTATTTACATAAAACTGTCTTCGAGTATAAATAAAATTCGGTGAGCACTAAGAGGAAAATCTCCTCAAATACTTATTTTTATACAAAAGAATTGATTATTTTTAATTAGGTACATTTGTGAATTGTATTTTATGTTTGCAAAATCCTAGCATTAATCATATAAAATAAATTTAAAAATATGTAAATTTGCTTCGTCGTGGGTTTAATTTTTTTTATCAAATGGAGCGTTTAAAGCGGTTAAATATTTAAATGCATTAAACAATGGCCAAGCTTCATAAACCCCAAGCTGGAAAAGAAAGTTTATGACCCGACTTTTGTTACTGCATGGCGAGATGAATAAAATAAATACCCAAAGTTTGTCGGCGTTTATGTTCCTGAAAATACCTCACCAAGTCGCTCATTGTTATATAAATTTATTTTTATCAAGCGTTTGACGTCCACGGGGATAACAGAGGGAGGAAAGTTTAGGTGTCATTAATCTTCTGTATCCTCAGTCTACAGTTTTTTGTTTATACTGCAGTTTTACTGCATTCAACTAAATATGAGAAATAAATGAACAACTCTAATCGAAACAACGTAATTTTTTATTCCATATTTGTTCATTTTATAGATGAGAAATCACCAATATTCTACTACCGGGTGACCATTAATGATCGTGAAGATGAGACAGTGGTAGCCCACAGCGCCACCTGTCAGTGTGTGGGGAATCTAGACCTTCACACCGGGCGCTGGGAATTTGCAAAGCAAATCTCCCAAAGCGCCCACCGGGAGTGGTAAACCGACATCAGCCAAAACAGCTACTCCTCGGGCAAATACCCCGCCAGGCGCTGAATTACATGACCAATGCCGGCTCCCCCACATCAACTGGACAATTATGCCCAAATCTTGATGTGAAAAAGAGGCAAAACATCACATATCGAGCACACTGCAGACCGGTTTCGCCCTTGTTGGGGCTCATCAGTGCAGTGTAACTCGATATGTGATGTCTCATCTTCACCGGCGTAGTCACTTTAAGACTCCCTCCCGAGGCCACATCACATATCGAGCTACACTGCACTGATGAGCCCCAACAAGGGCGAAACCGGTCTGCAGTTTGCTTGATATGTGATGTTTTGCCTCTTTTTCACATTAATGATCTTGATTATTATTCTTAGTTTGACAACGCATTTACGGTTTTATGTTAGCACCCTTGATTTTTAAATTCATATGTGTCAGATTAAAAGTCGAAATAAATCAAATTATAATTATTGCGATTTATTAGTTATCAAAAACGTTTTAACGACACATACATTGTAATGGCGAATTTATGAAAGCGCATTCCAGGATGAAAATGGCCACTTAATTTATTCACAGCGAATGATCAGTTTTTCGAAACCTTCCTTGAAGAACAAGGACAATTTTTAAATCTCACTGCTGTCATATCCTGAAGTTGTGCTAAATATAAACCAAATTGTCTAACAAAATAACCATGTCTCTGTACGTCGTGTATCCCAACAAATAGGTTTACATTAGCAATTATCTTGTTCTATCTTTTGCACATTCCCTACATTCTACATTCCAAGTTTTGCCTATGAATCTTGTCGTAAAATTCCGAAACAAAATTTGCATTTACGCCTATGGGTACAGGATGCGCCAGAACTCGCGCCCCAGAAAAAAATGCCATATAAGATTAGATATCAAAGGATTTTATTGAAACCTGTATAAATAAGTTGGATGACTTAGAATCAATAAACGACTATTTTCAACCAAATTATGCCACTACACACACTACACGATCCACAATAATTTTCTTAGTGGAATTCTTTCCAGTCCGTTTGATTAGCGCTAGTTTGTGGCCGAGTCAATCGCATACAAGTTTATGTTATTACGGCTAAATAAGTAACTGAAAAAAAATTGTTAACTGCATTGTAAAATTCTACGTAAAAATAACCAAGATATGATTTTTTTGGATTTTGCTAAGATGTCAACTACAGGTTTCAGAACTCCAGAGAAAATTTTCAAGTAAGATAAGATACCAAGAACAAAAAACAAAATGTCAAATGCCAAGATTTTTTCATATAAATTTTTTTAACATTTTTTCTGTTCTTTGTATCTTACCTTACTTGAAATTTTTCTCTGGGGCGCGAGTTCTGAAACCTGTAGTTGAAATGTTAAAAAAATCTATGTGAAAAAATTTTGACATTTGAAATTTTTTGTGTCTATACAGGGTGTTTACAGTCTTGGAGTTGAAAATTGACCAGTAATAGGAGAGTACAGAAGTACTGTAACCGAGAAAAAAACTGACACAATTGTTATTATTAAGAATATTATTTAACTCCAAAATGTTGGTACACGATTTGAAGGTCATTGGAATTATTTCCGTGTTCAGAAAAAATTGTATTGTTGCAACAGATAAAAAATCGTATCCATGACAATGAAAGAGAAAAGTCACTTCATAGTTTTGACACTGTCATCATTTGATTTGCTTTTGCTTTAGTTTTTATAAAAATTCGAATATCTTCTGTTTAATCTCTTTCAGCGAATGGTTTCCAATAGGTTTGATTCGTTTTTCTTAATTTTTCTCCAAATTTATGAACATGTATGGCAAAATATTAAAATAATAAATTGGTTGTCGTGATTATGATTTACGGTGAAACACAAGGTAATGATAATAATGACCATTGTTGCAGCCGAAGCAGCACTTCTCAAACAAATTATTATTATTAGTATTAGTTTTCTTCTACCGTGAATATCATCTTCAATTCAAAAACTAAACCCAACCTTACTTCATAAGAAATTGTTTGAGCATTTAAATTTCAACCTCAAGACCGTAAACACCCTGTATAATAATACTGATGATTTTGTTTATATTTTTTTTATAAAGGTACAAAAATTTTGCCAATAAAGGCCACAGGTAACATTAAACAGAGTTACCATTTAGGATACAGCTTCCTTGTTTCCTTTTCTAATAGTCTGTACCAAAAAAACTTGGAAAATCATTATTCCAACAGGGATTAATAAAGCCAAAGTACAAAATTCGAAATTTTTATAGATAGAATTTGTTTAACATTTTTTCCATTTTCTGGTATCTTACCTTGCATAGCAAATTCTCTGGAGCGCGAGTTCTGGCGCAGCCTGTATATGTCGAAAACAAAAGACGATAGCTGGATGCGGTTTTATCCAACATATTTTTTCAAAAAATGAGCCCCATCATTCCGCGAGAACTCAATGACACTAATGATCGTTCTCTGCGCTGATGTCAGAGTGACTTAAGATGATAACTTGGATTCAACTTCCAAATCCTAATATAAATGGAATCGAAGGCGTAAATAAAATTAATTTGTTTTTTGGGTTGCATCGCCAGATCGTCAGGCTCATTGTTAAGACAGGGCAATTCAGATAAGTCTGAATTGCCCTGTACATCGAAGTGAAGGTTCACCATGCTAAGAATAAATTTTTTTATAAGACCCCCGCCCCAAAAGTTAATTCCTGGATCCGTCTCAGCACTTTTCGGTTACAGAATCAAATCGATATTTTTGAAAATTAAATATTTTTTTGTTTGTCAATCCTAGATATTTGGCCATTTTTGGGTAGACAATTTAATACAAAAGCAATAAGTAAGACTTTTTTTTCCCGTTATTTAACTTACAACAAACTTCTTAATTTTTTTAACTTTTCGATTGCAATACACTAGAAAATGTTATAGCACTCATCTCAATACTTTTTTTTCTCAAGTTGTAAAAATTTTATTTCTTTATTGTTCTGAATTTTTAGGTAATAATTTCTAAAAAAGGTATGTTTCCTTTAAAGAAATAATAGTTATTTATTATACAAGACGATAAAGAAATTGTTTATCTACGAGTGAAAAGGTTAAGTTTACGAGTGATGAAGTCACAATCTTTATCGTCGTGTATAATTTTTCGTTTTATTTTGTACTCACCAGAATTTCATGAATATAAACAGTAGATGAAAATTACATTATTTCACTAGACGATAAAAGACTACTTTATCTGCTGAAATTAGTTGATAAAATACAAACAGTAGATAAAAATTACTTTATTTCACTAGATGATAAAAGACTACTTTATATACTGAAATTACTTGATAAAAGCACTCTTTAACATTGAGTACAAAATAATAGTTATTTATTCGACGAGTTTGAGTGTAAATCGGACGCTTTATTTCACGAGTGGATTTTGAAACAAGTGTTAACGAGTGGAATAAATGACGTGGAATAAATGAATTACACGAAGACGAGTTGAATACAACATTTTCGAATTAGACTCAACAAGGCTTAAAATTGCTTTAAATCTATTAAAAATAATCTGACCTTTCGTATTAAGAAATGCTAAATAGTTGTCAAAACTTCCTTACACAGAAGAAAAACCGTAAATTTTGACAGTGTCGAAGAATAAAGATATTTTTCAAACTAAGCAAGATCGACTAACAAAAATCTACACTTAAAGGACAATAATGAACTTTACCAACTCGCTGGAACAAGTTGTTAATAATTGCAGAGAAAATTTTAAATAAAAATTTAAATGTACAGTCAACGTAAAATACAACAGAAATTTTAGTGGACATTTATTTTTGCGTAAAAGCGAAACTGACACCAAGTTTGTGTTAGAACTCATTTTTAAACAACCTTTTTTATCTACTTCTCAAAAATTTCTTTTGGATCAGTAAGTTAACTTCTACAACTTTTTTAATACTCTTGCTTTGAATGGTCAAAAGGGCTTTGTCAATTTGCTGAAACCCTCAGAATTATTAAAATAACAATAAACCCTCATTAACTTTTTAACTTTTGTTTTTCAGCAGAATATCAGATTTCTTCGCATAGTTGTTTTTTTTTTTAAAAGCGTCCACTTTACCACCAAAAGAAGCTCGGCAAGTGTCGTTAGTTTTATTTTATGGAAACTTGAATCTGATTTCCCCTTCTTTCTGATTCGCACCACGTCTGCCACCATTCGCATTTTCATATTTCTGCTTTGATCCTTGGCAAATTCGTCGGTTCCCCATCAAAGTGGCGATCAATGCAATCTGCTCGCATTGCGTGCTCCGGTACCGGTTTAATAATAGTCCTGGTGTGATCCTGACGATTCTACGAGGCGTCGAGACGCCGACAGCGTCTGAGTTGGGAACGGAGGGCCGTTTCATCTGTATGCTAATACCCGCAAATTGCGCCACCCTCTCTTATTACTCCCGCTCAAGTAATAGCCATAAATATCGAATTACTGCGACCTCAAGTGTGATTGATTTTTCTAGCAGTCGGGTGCCCAATTGGGCAAAGTCTCCGGTTAGACACTTAACAGTCAGTCATTGAAGGGGTGTTAAACACATTTGCGAACAAATTGATGCGGATTTGCTACATGATTACTTGACCATAGGGCACACCTCCGGGGATCTAAAACATTTAATTAAAAGCCTGTTACATCTCACAAGTTAACCATTACGAGAAATTGGACTTGATGAGTGAAGGGATTCAAGAGGGGTGAAACTAAAACACAATCGTCCACGTTTTACACAGCTGATTGCGAATTAAAAGGTTTTATATATGTATGTGCTTCAGAAATTCTCATTAACAAAAGTCATGAGATAAATAATTTTCAATTTAAAATAATTTGCGTTTAAATATCGAGTTAATTACAACTGATTTAGTGTTTATGTTATAAACACGGGAGAATGTATTTAATAGTTTCAGTTACGCTCATGATTATCAAAGCAATAAACGTTAACGTCAGTTTCAGGTTGTTGTGCAGCTAATTTATATGTAACACCTACAATATTTTATAGCAAAA